GGCTTGTCATTACTAAGTTGTATTGATGCCCTACATGGGGTAATAAGAAACCAGGAATAGTTAAAACACAGTTAAAAACTAGGTGTGACAACCAGATGGCCTCCTTGGTAACTTACAAAGAAGTCCTTATCTGCTGCTGGGAGAGTGTTGACATTGCCAAGGAGCAAATTCAGAAAGGCCATTGAATGTTCAGCCAAGGCAGATTTGTTTACTAAGCTCAGGGACTGAGATGGGAAAACCTGAGACTCCAAGTCATGGATGAAGGCATTTGGATGGTAACCTTGAAGATTGTCACTTGTATCTTTTTTTAAAAAAAGATTTTATTTATTTATTTATTTATTTATTTATTTATTTATTTGAGAGAGAGAGAGAGAGAGAAAGTACAAGTGGGAAGGGGTAGAAGGAGAAGGAGAGGGAGAAGCAGAGTCACCACTGAGCAGGGAGCCCAATGCAGGGCTAGATCCCAGAGCCCTGAGATCATGACCTGAGGTGAAGACAGATGCTTAACCAACTGAGCCACCAAGGTGCCCCTGGCTTTCTTCTTATTATTAAGAGCGAGCACTTATCCTGCATGGAAAGTACTGCTGAGGCCTTTCCCCAGAAAAGACAGAGGTGCTCCCTCAGAAGCTACCCCTGCCTCTCCTGGCTCCAAAGGCAGTAAGTAGGGATAATGCCAGCATAGTCCAGCTGGGATTATAGGCCTTTACAAGGATGGAGATTATACTCTAGAGGAGTTTTAAGAGTTAGCGTTCACCAATAAGTGCCAGGAGGGTACTCAATTGGATTGGATTTCAGAGGCATTTGATCAAGGTGTGGGTACATAAAACTGGGTAAGCAAGGATTCATTTACTTGGTGTGGGGGCACTCTTACAGGATAAGTGTTTTAACATCCAGCAAGGCCCCTGGATAATGGTGCAAACTCACTTCTAGAGTAGCTTTGAGAAGTCTGGGAAAGTAATGGTCTTTGTTGAATGAAGTTGAAATGCCTAAATTGCTATGGCAGATAGTAGGGGAAGAGATGAAAAGTTTGAGGGAAGTGAGCATGCTGAATCGGATATATTATATGAGGCCTGAATATCCACAAAGGTTCTGTGGGAGGACCCAGAGGGCACTCCATTAGTGAAGGCCATCAGGGTATATGCTGGTGAGAGGGGTACCCTTTTCACTACAAGTTCAATAGTTGCTCTCCCCTGCAGGCTGGGGCTGGTGCTAAGAGAGGTGCTCACAGAAGTGGACTTGTGAGTAGCAGTGAGGGTTCTGGGGTCTAAAGCAAGAGCGATCCTCCATTGCAATTAACCATCAGAAACCAGGGGGCCATAGCTACCACAGGAATGGCCAAGAATATGTGGCTGCATTCATTGTAACCATGGACACCTGGCCTGAAAAATGTTTGACACCAAGACTTAGGGCAGAATTATGTCACAAGTTTTTTGTTCCATTTTTTATCATTAAGATCTAAAATGTCAGAAACTGTCAACTAACAATACAACTAGAGATGCACAGACATTTAATTTCTTTACATGACTGTAAGTGATCTTCCGTTCCGCTCAATCCCCTATCCACTGGTTAGTGGGGAAGAACTTAGCCATATGTCAATTTATTTTAAGTCTGATATGATTGTTTGAACTAGGTTTCTAGAGGTGTTCATTCTCTCAAGGTGGCTTACTGTCCCCTAGCTGCTTTCCTTCTAGTTGGTATCCCTGTGTATTGGGCAAAGAGTTTGGCTCATGGATTATGAGTTCCATATTATTATTAACTGCTTCACAGGGTAAAAAATCCATAGACATAAAGTGCCAGCTAATTATATGCTCCTGATCCCTCTCAGAGCATGTTTTTTCCTCAAGGACTCTAGTTGGTAAGTTCATTCTGTTTTATCTTCTGTTTTGTTGTTGATTTTCACTTAATATTATTCTGTGTAGGTAATAACAATTTTGTATTTATTTAATGGCCACATAATTTTCTATTGCTATGTTCACTTGGATCTTTAGAGATCAGTACTGATGCCAGCTTGAATTCCAATTTTAAGAAAGCCTCAAATTTTACCGAACCTAAATTCTGTCTGCCAACTCAGAGTTGGAGAAATATTTGGATTTAGAATTATTTGGAATTGATGTTTCTATCCCAAGAGAAGTTAGAGAAACAGAGGAATTTTTTTTTTTTTTTTGGCTTAGGAAGTTTCTTTCTGGAGGCCTTACAGGATGGCTTTTCATAGGGTCTCAGCCTATCCCTCACTTCTCGCATCAGCCCCCATAAGTGACTTGAAATAAGTCACTATAAGTCCAGTGGTGTGTGCAGCAATTTCAAGTCCCCAGTCAGTATCTATACCTAAGACCCTCCTGGTTAGACATTCTCAAGCTTTCCTTCAACATAAGGACAAGCACGACTTGGTGGGATGCCACCCCAGTTCGGCATTACCAGTGGGCTGATGAAGTAGTTAGATATTCCATGTGTATTCTCCTGTCCCTTTGCCTATGATCCTACCCTACCTGTCCCTAGACTGTCTTTTATATCCTTGTCATCTTTATGTTTTCTGAAATCCCACTGAAGTGTGAACTCCTTAAGGGCAACCGTTTAGGAATCTTAGATTGCCTTGTATTTCCCAGGATGCCAAGCACAGTAGCTGGCACATAGTCATTGCTTAAGGAGTTTGATGGGTGAATAAAGAAAAAAAATTGGGCTAGTAGTGGGAGCAGTAGAGAGGAATCAGGCGAAATACTGCATAATCCATACCTTTTGAGTCAAATCATTTGGGGGATCCATTGTGTTAAAGATGGTGGTTGGGTGGCCAAGGCCCTGTACTCAAAAGGAGGAAGGGAGAGAAATGTTGGGAGTGGCTCTTTGGAAGTCCCAGCATGGCTCAGACACCTGCTGAAGGCTCTTGATGGGGGTGAGGAGAGGGTTATGGCATTGACAGAACTACTGTGGCTGGCAGTGCTTTTGAGGAAGAAGTAGGATAGAAATGGGAAGAGGTGTGTAAAGAGAACTTAGGGTATTGGGTGGTTTAAGGGTTTGTTATTCCAGCATTTGGAAGCCAGAACTGCATCATCTTTCCATGTGTAAAGAGCCCAAGTCTGGAGATCCTGCTGGGGGCGTGAAAGACAAAGCGGAGAATTGATAGGCCTGAACCTTTTTAGTTCAGTTATGAGGGATGCAATAAGATCATGTGAGTCATTTTTAGATTTGGATCAAAAGGCAACATTTGGTGTATGTCTTTTTGCTCTGAGAGGACAGATGTTTTAGTAAGTATCCTTGTACTCCAGTGTCTCATAGCTCTGGATTTTCATCAAGGATAGTCACAGATTCTCTAACTTCCCAGTCTTCATATCTCGAGATGGATGAATATTGTAGACAGATGTATACATCCCAGTATATATCAGATATTAAGACTGAGCTGTACTACTAAGGTACATGGCTTAATTTATGCTCAAGAGAATTGATACAATTTTGGGAAAGCTTTGGTAACCTATACTGCCCATTCCTTCTTTCAGATGGACCCCTCCTTTTTTTCACCTTGCTGAGTACAAACTGTATCTCAGGGCTTAGTTCAAACCCTATGCCTTGTATGACACCTTCCTGGAGGCCCAGGCCCTCAGGATCCCACCCTTCTCTGAACCCCAGAGTATTTGTTTATCATACAAAATGGCTGATATTTTTTGTACTAATTAAAGGAAGATGCCTACTTAGGGCAGAGGAATTAGAATATTTCTTTGAAGTTTCTGCGTTGATTTACTGTTCATTATTTTTACAACTTTTTCATGAAGGTAATTCACATATTTAAAACATTAAAAAGGCATTATCACTAAATGACATTTTACTAGCAGAGTTATGAGCACCTACATCACTGGAATTCTTTCCTCTTACTCTTTTTTTTTAATACCACTGACCAACTAGTGGAAGAACTTCTCTTCTTTGTGAAGCCTATAAGAAGATGCCTTCACATGGCAGAGAAATTAGAGAACGTTTCCTCCTGCAAGCAGCATAGCTACATGGACAATGGGTTTCTCTCCCAGAGGTTTCTTCATGCAAAGAAAAGTAAGGCTGCAAGTTGCAATCACTGAACCAAAGGCTTGTCTTGGGAGTTTTGTGGGGCCTGCAAATCTAACCCCTCTCCACCCTACTGGGATGACTTCGATCTGAACACACATTGCTTATTTCATCATTTTGCTTCTGTTATCCTTGGTGGACACTAGTTATAAACAGGATGGCTTACAAATGTCTGCTTGTTCATCTGCCAACCATAAGTAATGTCGACCTTTTGGGAACTTGGTTTCAATGTCTCGAAGGAAGTTATCTGTGGCAATTGTAGCCTGATGGCAAATGATAAACATCCAATTAATTCATGAAGTGTTTATTCTCCCTAAGTACCATTGATAATAGTAAGGAAGTGCATTTTTCAGTTCCAGGGTGGGACTCACAAAGCATTGTCCTTCTTTCCAGGAAGTTCTTCCTCTAGGAAATATTACTTAATAGTAACAATAATAATAATGATAAAAGTAACTGTTTAGTTAGTACTTACTAACCCTCAACTTTATAAAATGAATTCTCATGACACACTGGGTTACTCATGGTAAGAAAAAAGAAGCTCAGATAAAGTCAATGATGAATAACAGGCAGCTGGTCTTTCCCCAGAGGTTGGAAAAAGTCTCCTTGAGCAACTGACTCCTCCCGCCTGCTCCAGGCCATGTTCAGTATGGAAGTCTGGCAGGATGGAATTGCTTGGAGGTGTTCATTTTCTCTTTCTGAATGCATCAGTCATTTCTCCAGCTAGGCTGTATTGCTTTGAGATCAGGGACAGAAACTTCTACTTCTTTGCCTCCCCAAATACCTAGGTTGGTCTCTTAAAAAAGTCAATACTTATGGGTGATTGAATTACTGATTTTTAAGTGGGCCATCCTGGGTGTAGTATGGTCATGAGGAAGTAAAGATCTCACAAGGTAAAAGCCTAAATGTCTAAGTGTCTGAGTATGTTCAGTGTAATATTTGGTGTTTTCTCCCCACAGCAGCTGTGAATACATTTCTTGTTTGTGGCCATGACTTCTATATTCAGTACTTCCAAAGATCCTCCCAGTTGCTGAGGACCATTCTACACTCCTGCATTAATAGCCCTCAGGCTGACCTGGGTCTGTGGCTGGTATGTACATAGTTTTTGTTTTTATTTTTACCCCTTTGTGCTCTTCCATCCTTATCCCTCTTTCTTCTATTTCTTAAAAATATAGCCAAGGAAAAGATGCAATTAGTAAGCTCCTTGCCAGAGCCTTCTTGGTTTTCATGTGGCTTTGAAAATTCTGTTTTTTGAAGGTGATCATAAAATGTGGGTACTGAGAATATTTGGCATTAATCAGGCAGTTTCATATTTGTGAATAAAACTGGTGAGAAATCACAGCTTACTTGAATAAAATGAACTCCTCTTAGCTTAGTACCATAATAAAGTTAAAAAATAACAAAGCAAAAGCAGTTCAAACATGAATAATTTAAGTTTAATCCTGGGCAAACTATTTACATTTTCATTTTGCCCCAGAATAGTAGCTAGTAAAGATGGTCATCTTTGGTTTCAAAGTAGCTTTTTAGAGTATACATAATTTTCCCAGAGTTTCCCATTTATTTAAGGCCTCATTCTGAGTAGGGAACTGTGCTAAGCTCTGGTGAAATTTTAATGCATCTTTAAAACTGAGTTTGATCTAAGAATCTTTGCTCTAATTTAAGATGTTAAATAGAGATATTACAAAGTAAGAGTGCTGGAATTGATAAAAATTAATAAGCAACTGTTTTATTATTGCTTTTACATTTATTTATTAGTTGATTTTAGACTAACCTTATCAGTAAGTGGAAAAACGTAAGATGTAAACATTGATGTTCCCCTAAGACATTTCTGTGTGAATTGTGTGACCTGATTAAAAATATTACAGGTTGGCACTAAAATTATGGGTCCTATTTTTACCACACACAGTGTTTGAGGAAAGTAGTGAGGGATAAAGAGAAGCTATTTAGAATCACAGGGTTGTTTGTACTATCCCATCAGCTTCCTGGAACAGTGGCTCTGTGGAAACATAAAGTCATGGCATTTGTAGGAGGAAAGAAAATATGATGGAAGCATGAATGGAACAGTTAGCTGGGTGTAGAATCTAGGATGTGGGTTATATGAGTGGTTAATTGCTTGTCTCACTTGATTGGGCTTTTGGAAAACTTGAGAAATTCCAAGTTGTTTTTCTAGTTGGGCTTGAAGAATGGGTTGACATTAAATTATTTCCCTATGGGTTTGAGAAGATGGCATTGAATTCGTGGTCTGACAAATAGATCCTTTGACTGGAGGGGAAAGGAAAATGAAGGAAGCAACATTTATGGAGTGTAGGTCATGAGTCACAGCCTATGAGGCATGGTGCACAGGTTTTATACACACTGTCACATTCAGTCCTGCAAATAACCACATGAAGTTATCTGTCACAGTCAACCAGGCTGCTATAAAGTACCATAGACAAGGTGGCTTATGAACAACAGAAATTTATTTCTTACAGTTCTGGAAGCAGGAAGGCAAGAGATCGGAATTTTAACATGGTAGGGTTATGGTGAGGTTCTTTTCTGGATTCCAGACTGCTGACTTCTCTATGTATTTTAACACGGTAGAAAGAGAGCTAGCTCTCTGACATCTTCTTATAACCCCATTCATGAGGGATCTGCCTTCATGACCTAATTATCTTCCAAAGGTCCCATCTCCAGATACTATCACACCAGGATTAGGGTTTCAACATATTTATTTTGGGGGGGACACAAACATTCAGTTCATAGCAGTATCATTGTCTATAGTTAATAGATACAGATATTTAAGGTACTAAGAGTTTAATTGGTTAGCTCAAGGTGACACAGATAGTAAATAGAATCAGAATCTAGATGGTACCAAGTGGCTTGGAAAGTGGCTGCAAACACAGCTGATTAACTTAAAGATTAAGTTAAAGTATTCTATTGGATTGTTGTGCCAAAAATTATGTTAATGATTTACTTCCATCCCCATGTTCTGGTTTATTATTTGCCCAAATCAAAGTTGTCAGACAGTTTAAATCATGATTACTCAACAGATGAAGAGCCTAAGACCTGGGAGTTAACACTACCGGTTCTAGGACACTGAATTATTTTTTAGATGGGGAGACAGTTAATTCCCCTCTCAATAGACACTATAAAAGGCATTAGGGCTTTGATTTATATTTAGTTTCAACTATAATAAATGGCTTACATCTGGTCAGTTAAAGTAGATGATAAAAATATTCTTTGCCTTGGGGCACCTGGGTGGCTCAGTCAGTTAGGCATCCAACTCTTGGTTTTGGCTCAGGTCATGATCTCATAGGTCATGGTCTCATGGGTTGTGAGATGGAGCCCCATGTTGGGCTCTGTGCTCAGTGAGGATTTGGCTTGAGATTCTCTTCTTCCCCTCCCCCTACTTCCATGATCTCTCTTTCATTCTAAAATAAATAAATCTTTAAAAGTTATTCTTTACCTAATACTCTGAACAGGGGACTTGATTAGGGATTTTTATTTTCCTGAACTTTGCCCCCAGTTCTGATCTCAACTTAGAAATGGGAAAGAAGAATGACTATTACATATTTGGATAGTAATTAGTAGTAATTCTGCTGCAATATGGTTGGCTCGTTAAAAGTGATATACCTTGTTAAATGTATATTAAATAGGAATAAAAGGCTAAGCTTCTTTCTTTTAATTCAGAAACTGCTAAGAAAAGAAAGATAAAGAGGGAAGACAACAGGTATTAGAAAAGATGAAAACCAGATGCCTTTTCTTATAGTAATATGGAATTTTGTGCTTCTTTCGGTTTCCAAGTTATTTCCATTTATGTCTGTATGGGTTTAATCTAGGTGATAATTTGTCTAGAAACATTGCCTTTCAAGGGGTTATACCTAATTACAAATGTAAAAGATGACTTGAAAGAGTGGTGGAACATCACACCAATACTCTCTCTACTTCCCAGTGGCAGAGGGAAGTGAAGGTGAAGAAATAAGTTGAAGACAGAGAGCAGCGAGATGCAAGGTCTGCTTCTGTACTTTGGTGACACTAATGGGAAATAAAAGTTGCTAGCTGACATTTGTGACATTCTTATAAGGGCTCACCACTCTCCTAAGCACTTCACCTATGAGGACTTTGAAGAATGAGACAAGTCATCTTGCCTAAAGTCAATCTGGGATGAAAGTCAGGCATCAGGTTCAGAGTGTGCATGCTAAACCTCTGGACTCTCTTGCTTCAATACAAGTGGTGAGAGTAATTAACAACCCTTCTTATTTGGTCTCTATGGGAAGGTATTATCTCCATTTTACAGATGACATTGAGTTTGGGAAAAATTAATTGATCAATCAGCTCAATATCAGACAATGTAAATGATGGAGTATGATTTTTAGCACAAGTCTGTCTAATTTCAAAATCTGGGCTTTAATTATGCTGCTTAAAGCTCAAGGTCAAAAGATGTTACCAAGTGTTTTTTCAGAAAGCAGTTTCACCTTTCTGTCTTAAGAACTAGACTTAGAGTACAGCGCCTTGACCAGAAGATTCAGTTAACAGAATACTTATATTCCCTGAGCTGCTTCTGTGTGCTTGTTTAGGTGGGCAGGCCAGTCCAAAGGAGACTTTGATGAGCACAGGCTTCCAGGAGGACTGAGCCGCCTCGCTGCTGTAAGTTCAAATGGTAAATTAACCTCTTGTTAGCTCAGGAATGTTCTCTCATGGGCCCTTTGGAACCCATTTCTTTGAAATGTAATCCTATCTCTTGGTTTTCTGGGACAAGATGGGCCTAATTACAACTGACTTGAAATGGCAAACCTTACCTTTAGTCATAAAGATAGGAAAGAATTAGCAATTTTATCTTGAAAACATGATGGAATGGATTGTATCCACTTAGCAATATGAAAGATGTTCTGTATTTGCAACCTCAAGTGAATTGCCTGTGATGATGAGCATCATATTCTGGTTGAATGATTATTCAATAATAAATTCACTATTTATTGAGCACCTATGATGTGCCTGGCTCTGTGCTAGAGTCAAGATGCCAGAGAAATACAGTTCCTTCTGATCACTGGCCAAAGGGGACCTAGGGATTGGAAACATACACATTCCCTGGGTACCTAGGGACAAGAATTAGCTGTGGTTTCCCTTTCTAGGAATATGGGAGCTCTACAAAGAGATAAAGAACTGAGGAGCCTAAGATCTCTTTAAGGAAGTTTAAGCATGTCTTCTTGGGATTGGACCTTCAAGAAGGCCTGAATCTCTTTTACTAGACTAGCATTCTTAGATGGCACAGCTCTTGTGTTAATCATCTTTGCATAGCCAGACTGTATCTGAGTGCCTGACATTCTGTAGATAGATTATAAATGGTTGTTGACTACATAAAAGAAAGAAATTAAACTTCTCCCTCTGGCCAGGAAAGACTCGGAGACAAATTTCACTACGACCTTAACAGGTTTTTGTTAAGTATGTATTTGCATTGTCCCCTTCTTATGTTTCATAATAATGTCATAATGTCATTGTATTATAGTGCAACCCTTAAGGGTTATACTTTGCATTTTCCTGAATGTCCCCTCTTTCTCCTATTTTTCTAGCTCTTTGTTATTCCTGTTCTCTTTTGGACTCATTTTTCTCTTTTTTTCTTTGTCTTCTCCCTCAGCAACTTCTCTTCCTATTGGAGTTGAATAGAACTGAAGCCTAATTATTAATTAGCCCTTTTAGTGGGACTATTTTTCCTTTGAAATACAATGTTTCTTCAATATGCAAAACACACTTTATGATGTCTTTTTGACATTCATATCTATCGCTTCACAAATTAACAGTGGAAAGTACACATATTAGTTGCTAGGGCTACAGTAACAAAGTACCAAAGACTAGGTGGCTTAACCAACAGATATTTACTTTCTTATTGTTCTGGAGGCTATAAGATGTTGGCAGGGCTGGTTTCTTCTTAGGTCTCTGTCCTTGGCTTATAAATGGCCATCTTCTCTCTGTTTTCACATGGTCTTCCTTCTGTACCTGTGTCCTAAATTCTTCTTAGAAGCATAATGGTCATATTGGATTAGGACCCACCCTAATGACCTCATTTTAACTTAATTACCTCTTTAAAGACCTCATCTCTAAATACAGTCACAT